TTATAACAGAACCATGCCAAGATGTTCAAAAATGTTCATAAGTGACAAGCATGGTCAAATAATAATCAGGAATAAATCTCAGTTGGCTTTTCATAGCCGATCATTAAGAGTTGAAAACAGCAGGTCTGGGACAGGTAGGGGTTCCATAACCGCAGGCAGAACAGTTGAAACTGGAATAGCAGCAAGGCCAGGCGGACTGGGGACAGCAAGGAGTCACCACGGCCGGTAGTCCCGACGTATGGTCCTAGGGCTCAGGTCTCTCAGTTGGCTTTTCATAGCCGATCATTAAAGAGTTGAAAACAGCAGGTCTGGGACAGGTAGGGGTTTCGTAGCCGCAGGCAGAACAGTTGAAACTGGAATAGCAGCAGGGCCAGGCGGACTGGGGACAGCAAGGTGTCATCATGCCCGGTAGTCCTGACGTATGGTCCTAGGGCTCAGGTTCTCAGAGAGAAAGAGAGAACGAGAGAATTAGAGAGAGCATACTTAAATTCACACAGGACACTGGATAAGACAGGAGAAGTACTCCAGGTATAACCAACTAACCCCAGCCCCCCGACACATAAACTACTGCAGCATAAATACTGGAGGCTGAGACAGGAGCGGTCCGGAGACACTGTGGCCCCATCCGAAGAAACCCCCGGACAGGGCCAAACAGGAAGGATATAACCCCACCCACTCCGCCAAAGCACAGCCCCCGCACCACTAGAGGGATATCCCCAACCACCAACTTACAATCCTGAGACAAGGCCGAGTATAGCCCACAGAGGTCTCCACCACAGCACAAACCAAGGGGGGGGGCGCCAACCCAGACAGGAAGATCACGTCAGTAACTCAACCCACTCAAGTGACGCACCCCTCCCAGGGACGGCATGAAAGAGCACCAGCAAGCCAGTGACTCAGCCCCTGCAACAGGGTTAGAGGCAGAGAACCCCAGTGGAGAGGGGAACCGGCCCGGCAGAGACAGCAAGGGCTGTTCGTTGCTCCAGCCTTTCCGTTCACCTTCACACTCCTGGGCCAGACTACACTCAATCATATGACCTACTGAAGAGATAAGTCTTCAGTAAAGACTTAAAGGTTGAGACCGAGTCTGCGTCTCTCACATGGGTAGGCAGACTGTTCCATAAAAATGGAGATCTATAGGAGAAAGCCCTGCCTCCCGCTGTTTGCTTAGAAATTCTAGGGACAATTAGGAGGCCTGCGTCTTGTGACCGTAGCGTACGTATTGGTATGTACGGCAGGACCAACTCGGAAAGATAGGTAGGAGCAAGCCCATGTAACGCTTTATAGGTTAACAGTAAAACCTTGAAATCAGCCCTTGCCTTAACAGGAAGCCAGTGTAGGGAAGCTAGCACTGGAGTAATATGATCAAATTTCTTGGTTCTAGTCAGGATTCTAGCAGCCGTATTTAGCACTAACTGAAGTTTATTTAGTGCTTTATCCGGGTAGCCGGAAAATAGAGCATTGCAGTAGTCTAACGTAGAAGTAACAAATGCATGGATTAATTTTTCTGCATCATTTTTGGACAGAAAATTTCTGATTTTTGCAATGTTACGTAGATGGAAAAAAGCTGTCCTTGAAACAGTCTTGATATGTTCGTCAAAAGAGAGATCAGGGTCAAGAGTAACGCCGAGGTCCTTCACAGTTTTATTTGAGACGACTTTACAACCATCAAGATGAATTGTCAGATTTAACAGAAGATCTCTTTGTTTCTTGGGACCTAGAACAAGCATCTCTGTTTTGTCCGAGTTTAAAAGTAAAAAGTTTTCAGCCATCCACTTCCTTATGTCTGAAACACAGGCTTCTAGCGAGGGCAATTTTGGGGCTTCACCATGTTTCATTGAAATGTACAGCTGTGTGTCATCCGCATAGCAGTGAAAGTTAACATTATGGGTATGACGCTACAAGCTTGGCACACCTGTATCTGGGGAGTTTCTCCCATTCTTCTCTGCAGATCTTCTCAAGCTCTGTCAGGTTGGCTGGGGAGCGTCACTGCATAGCTATTTTCAGGTCTCTCTAGAGATGTTCGATCGGGTTGAAGTCCGGGCTCTGGCTGGGCCACTCAAGGACATTGAGACTTGTCCCGAAGCCACTCCTACGTTGTCTTGGCTGTGTGCTTAGGGCCGTTGTCCTGTTGGAAGGTGAATCTGAGGTCCTGAGCGCGCTGGAGCAGGTTTTCATCAAGGATCTCTCTGTACTTTGCTCCATTCATCTTTCCCTCGATCCTGACTAGTCTCCCCGTCCCCGCTGCTGAAAAACATCCCCACAGCATGATGCTGCTACCACCATGCTTCACCGTAGGGATGGTGCCAGGTTTCCTCCAGACGTGACGCTTGGCATTCAGGCCAAATAATCTTGTTTCTCAGGGTCTGAGAGTCCTTTAGATGCCTTCTGGCAAACTCCAAGCGGGCTGTCATGTGCCTTTTAATGAGGAGTGGCTTCCGTCTGGCCACTCTACCATAAAGGCCTGATTGGTGGAGTGCTGCAGAGATGTTGTCCTTCTGGAAGGTTCTTCCATCTCCACAGAGGAACTCTGGACCTCTGTCAGAGGGACCATCAGGTTCTTGGTCACCTCCCTGACCAAGGCCCTTCTCCCCCAATTGTTCAGTTTGCCCAGGAGGCCAGCTCTAGGAAGAGTCTTGGTGGTTCCAAACTTCTTCCATTTAAGAATGATGGAGGCCGCTGTGTTCTTGGGGACCTTCAATGCTGCAGACATTTTTTGGTACCCTTCCCCAGATCTGTGCCTCGACACAATCCTGTCTCGGAGCTCTACGGACAATTCATTCGACCTCATGGCTGGGTTTTTGCTCTGACATGCACTGTCAACTGTGGGACCTTATATAGACAGGTGTGTGCCTTTCCAAATCATGTCCAATCAATTTAATTTACCACAGGTGGACCCTAATCAAGTTGTAGAAACATCTCAAGGATGATCAATGGAAACAGGATGCACCTGAACTCAATTTTGAGTCTCATAGCAAAGGGTCTGAATACTTATGTAAATAAGGGATTATTATTATTTTTATTCATTTTTTATTTTAAAAACCTGTTTTCGCTAAGTCATTATGTTGTATTGTATGTAAATTGATGAGGAAAACACTTAATTTAATCAATTTTAGAGTAAGGCTGTAACGTAACAAAATGTGGAAAAAGGGAAGTGGTCTGAATACTTTCTGAATGCACTGTATGTTGCTTTCAAGGAAGACAATTCTGACTACTTTTAGAAAAAAAATTTGATTTGATCATTATTTTTCTGCTTTAGATACATTCGACTCCAAATGTTACAGAGAAAAACTGATGTCTGTCTGTGAATCCGGCTCTCAGTAATACTGTGGTCCATCCCTTAAATAATCACTCACTGTTAGCATTTGGCACATCACAATGATCCACACCGTGTGTACTGTATTCTATAGAATAATTGCACATTTGATATATTTGGTATAATGGGAAATGTATGGATTATATCACAAGAGAAGAGTTTAACTACTGTTTATATTTATATATATACACTATCTCACACAGATAACAAGCTGAACCCCCTAATCAGTATAGTTGTTGTAAATGTATTAGTTTTAAATAAAGCTTTCTTCGATACAAAATGGGCAGGGGTCCATTTCTGTCACGAGTGTCAGTGTAATGCGGTGGATCGAAGTCAGGCGCAGGACACAGAACTCTATGAAACGTACTTTACTGAAATAAGTAAAGAAATCAATACAAGACACCTCCACACAGGGAGGAACAAACCCGCTCACCAACGACACACGAAATGAAAAAACAAACACGCACAAAACTCATTGGGAGCCACCGGGTTAAATAGGGAAGGAGGTAATCACATAATGGGGAAACAGGTGTGTAACAATCAGACAACAGGTAGAACATAGAAACATAGAAACATAGATCGGCAGCAGCTAGTATTCCGGGAGGACGACGAACGCCGAAGCCTGCCCGGGCAAGGAGGAGGGGCAGCCTCGGCAGAATCCGTGACAATTTCTTAGTTTTTTTTAAAAATCAATAGTTTATTGCTTTTCAATAAGAAATAAAGGCATTGGTCATTTTCATTATTTTACATCTTTACGTTGAAGTCAAATGTATTTAATACAGATTTTAATTCAAGGTGATTTTGAATAAGATGCATTAGAGAAGTGCAGAACATTTGTTTTAGTTAACGCTCCCTCCAGACTAGCGGTTTAACGCTCCCTCCAGACTAGCGGTTTAACGCTCCCTCCAGACTAGCGGTTTAACGCTCCCTCCAGACTAGCGGTTTAACGCTCCCTCCAGACTAGCGGTTTAACGCTCCCTCCAGACTAGCGGTTTAACGCTCCCTCCAGACTAGCGGTTTAACGCTCCCTCCAGACTAGCGGTTTAACGCTCCCTCCAGACTAGCGGTTTAACGCTCCCTCCAGACTAGCGGTTTAACGCTCCCTCCAGTCTAGCGGTTGTGTGGCGCTGTCATGCGAGAGACAGAAACGGAAAGGAGGACGTGTCAGAGACCACAGATGAGATCTGATCCAGGCTCAAATCTGATCTGATTTGATCAGGATCTGATCTCAAATCCTCATCATCCTTCTTCTCTTTATCCCTTCCACAGAATAGAAAAAAGGGGGGTTCAGTGCCTTGCTCAAGGGCACAACGGCAGTAGATGGTATATTTTTATTTATTTATTTAATTAACCTTTATTTAACTAGGCAAGTCAGTTAAGAACAAATTGTTATTTACAATGACGGCCTACACCGGCCAAACCCGGACTACGCTGGGCCAATTGTGCGCCGCTCTACGGGACTCCCGATCACAGCCGGTTGTGATACAGCCTGGAATCGAAACAGGGGTTCTGTAGTGACGCCTCAAGCACTGAGATGCAGGGCCTTAGACCGCTGCGCCACTCGGGAGCCCATAATGATGATATCCTGTGGTTACTGGCCTGTCTCTCTAACCTCAAGGCTACTGCTGCCCCGTCTGCATGTGTTGATGACGTGTGTGTTCCTGAGGTACGATACGATCTCACCTCCTTCATTACCGGCTTCTACAGCCTCTGAGGGCAGACCAAACTGGTTCATGAGAGGTCCCAGCTGTCATGACTCCAAGGCGCTGCTGAACATACTCATCGCCAAGGGAGACAGACCCACAGAGACACGAGTTTAATGTTAACCTGAAAGGGGAAAGTTTAAGGTTCTGAATCTGTATTATTGACCTGATAAAAGGAGTATTTTACACACCGTGGCAAAATAAATCATTTTGGCAAATGTGGTCTTCGTCAGGACATGAAGTGGAAAACAGCGAATCAAACAGCCTTTTTCTGATTTCTAATGTGTATCTACCCACCTGTTAGAACTGTATAGAGGTGAGTAGGTTCTGTATCTACCCACCTGTTAGAACTGTATAGAGGTGAGTAGGTTCTGTATCTACCCTCCTGATAGAACTGTATAGAGGTGAGTAGGTTCTGTATCTACCCACCTGACATAACTGTATAGAGGTGAGTAGGTTCTGTATCTACCCTCCTGATAGAACTGTATAGAGGTGAGTAGGTTCTGTATCTATCCATCTGATTGAACTGTGGAGAGGTGAGTGGGTTCTGTATCTATCCACCTGATAGAACTGTATAGAGGTGAGTAGGTTCTGTATCTACCCACCTGTTAGAACCGTGGAGAGGTGAGTAGGTTCTGTATCTACCCACCTGATAGAACTGTGGAGAGGTGAGTGGGTTCTGTATCTACCCACCTGACAGAACTGTATAGAGGTGAGTGGGTTCTGTATCTACCCACCTGTTAGAACCGTGGAGAGGTGAGTAGGTTCTGTATCTATCCACCTGATAGAACTGTGGAGAGGTGAGTAGGTTCTGTATCTACCCACCTGATAGAACTATGGAGAGGTGAGTAGGTTCTGTATCTACCCTCCTGATAGAACTGTATAGAGGTGAGTAGGTTCTGTATCTACCCACCTGACATAACTGTATAGAGGTGAGTGGGTTCTGTATCTATCCATCTGATTGAACTGTGGAGAGGTGAGTGGGTTCTGTATCTATCCACCTGATAGAACTGTATAGAGGTGAGTAGGTTCTGTATCTACCCACCTGACAGAACTGTGGAGAGGTGAGTAGGTTCTGTATCTACCCACCTGATAGAACCGTGGAGAGGTGAGTAGGTTCTGTATCTACCCACCTGATAGAACTGTGGAGAGGTGAGTGGGTTCTGTATCTACCCACCTGACAGAACTGTATAGAGGTGAGTGGGTTCTGTATCTACCCACCTGTTAGAACCGTGGAGAGGTGAGTAGGTTCTGTATCTATCCACCTGATAGAACTGTGGAGAGGTGAGTAGGTTCTGTATCTACCCACCTGATAGAACTGTGGAGAGGTGAGTAGGTTCTGTATCTATCCACCTGATAGAACTGTATAGAGGTGAGTAGGTTCTGTATCTACCCACCTGATAGAACTGTGGAGAGGTGAGTGGGTTCTGTATCTACCCACCTGACAGAACTGTGGAGAGGTGAGTAGGTTCTGTATCTACCCACCTGACAGAACCGTATAGAGGTGAGTAGGTTCTGTATCTACCCACCTGATAGAACTGTATAGAGGTGAGTAGGTTCTGTATCTACCCACCTGACAGAACTGTGGAGAGGTGAGTAGGTTCTGTATCTATCCACCTGTTAGAACTATGGAGAGGTGAGTGGGTTCTGTATCTACCCACCTGATAGAACTTTATAGAGGTGAGTAGGTTCTGTATCTACCCACCTGATAGAACTGTATAGAGGTGAGTAGGTTCTGTATCTACCCACCTGTTAGAACTGTGGAGAGGTGAGTAGGTTCTGTATCTATCCACCTGTTAGAACTATGGAGAGGTGAGTGGGTTCTGTATCTACCCACCTGATAGAACTTTATAGAGGTGAGTAGGTTCTGTATCTACCCTCCTGATAGAACTGTATAGAGGTGAGTAGGTTCTGTATCTACCCACCTGACAGAACTGTGGAGAGGTGAGTAGGTTCTGTACATCCTCTGCACTCTGAGGTAGAGACTCTCCAGAAGGGAGGAGCCTCTGTTGCACCTCAGAGTTAGACAGGATAGGAGCCATGACCTCTGGGGTCACACACTGGGCAGGTCCACTGAGGAAGGGAGAAGACCGTACATTAGATATACAGAGAAGTCATACACTCATCTACGATATTACAAATGCAATATATTTGACTGTCTTTTGCATATGGAAAAGATCCCACAGAAAATGTCTGTGTACTGGTCATCCACCTACAGCGTTAGAGCTAACCATGCCCTTTTGAGAGAAAAAAAAAAAAAGATTTAACCTAAAACAAGCACATTGTTAAAAAGGAAAGTGGGAAATCGAAAAACCCGTTCTATATGAGCGTAGTTGACTGCAGATATCCACTATTGTCATGCAGACTCATGTAATTATCTGCTCACCCTCAACACTCTGCGGACATGGCTGGTACGTTCATATGGCCAGGATACTCTGCAGGTCTCAGACCTGGTATCCTAACCTGCTGCATAAGTTCTCGGTTAGTGCCATCCGGGATCCTTGGGACGTCCCTACCCTAAACCTAACCTTAACCTCCTTAACCATAAAACTTACCTAACCCTTACCATTTTAAATTTCAACTTCAATGTGGGTATGGACGTCCCAAAGGGTCCCGGATAACAAGGACAGTAAGTTCTCCTAACCTGCTATGGACGTCCCAAAGGGTCCCGGATAACAAGGACAGTAAGTTCTCCTAACCTGCTATGGACGTCCCAAAGGGTCCCGGATAGCAAGGACAGTAACTTCTCCTAACCTGCTATGGACGTCCCAAGGGTCCCGGATAACAAGGACAGTAAGTTCTCCTAACCTGCTATGGACGTCCCAAAGGGTCCCGGATAACAAGGACAGTAAGTTCTCCTAACCTGCTATGGACGTCCCAAGGGTCCCGGATAGCAAGGAGAGTAAGTTCTCCTAACCTGCTATGGACGTCCCAAAGGGTCCCGGATAGCAAGGACAGTAAGTTCTCCTAACCTGCTATGGACGTCCCAAGGGTCCCGGATAGCAAGGACAGTAAGTTCTCCTAACCTGTTACGAAAAAGTCTGTTGGTGTGCTAGCTGTGTTCCACCTAGTCAGAACCAGAACAAAAGGGACTTGTTTGAGTGGTAAGTATGAAGGTAAATTAGAGACATAAGTGTACAAGCATGTAAAGTACTGTATGATTTGCACATGTAAAATATGAGTTGCACCTATATAATCAGTTTTGTAGTTGCCAAAAATATTTGCAAACATGTAACTTCTTTTTAGAATAAATGCAACAACACTCGTAAGCACGTAACATGATGTGTGAATAAATTCAATAAGATTTGCAACTCAATTTGAGAATGAATGCAACTCATTTACAAAAATAAAAAAGAAGACTGATCACGCCCCCATTATCATCGACGGGGCTGTAGTGGAACAGGTTGAGAGCTTCAAGTTTCTTGGTGTCCACATCACCAACAAACGATCATTTATTTATTTTTTTGTTCACCTTTATTTAACCAGGTAAGCCAGTTGAGAACAAGTTCTCATTTACAACTGCGAGATAAAGCAAAGTAGTGCGATAAAAACAACAACACAGAGTTACATATGGGGTAAAACAAAGAAAGTCAAAAAAGTGTGATAGGGAAATATGTACGAAAAATACAAAAAAAATACAAAAAACTGGCTATTTACATGGACACACACAGAGTCCACGACCGCACTGCTACGCCATCTTGGAATCGCCCAAACACACCAAGACAGTCGTGAAGAGGGCACGACAAAGCCTATTCCCCCTTGGCTTGGGTCCTCAGATCCTCAAAAAGTTCTATAGCTGCACCATCGAGAGCATCCTGACTGGTTGCATCACCGCCTGGTATGGCAACTGCTCGGCCTCCGACCGCAAGGCACTAGAGAGGGTAGTGTGTACAGCCCAGTACATCACTGGGGCCAAGCTTCCTGCCATCCAGGACCTCTAGACCAGGCGGTGTCAGAGGAAGGCCCTAAAAATTGTCAAAGACTCCAGCCACCCTAGTCATAGACTGTTCTCTCTGCTACCGCACGGCAAGCGGTACCGGAGCGCCAAGTCTAGGTCCAAAAGGCTTCTTAACAGCTTCTACCCCCAAGCCATAAGACTCCTGAACAGCTAATCATGGCTACCCGGACTATTTGCTGCTATTTTACTGCTGCTCTTTAATTATTTTCTAATTTTTACTTACCTATTTTTTACTTAACACTTTTTCTTTCTTTCTTAAAAATTGCATTGTTGGTTATGGGCTTGTAAGTAAGCATTTCACTGTAAGTTTGCAACTGCACATCTAATCTTGTTCTCCATCCCCTCTTGTCTTGATTCTACAGGGAGCGTGAGGACTGAACGGACCTCTCTGAAATGGAAATGGATGGCCCTCCCTTCAGAAAAATATATTTTACCTAAACCCTCCCTGAACGCTTGAGAAAAAACAAGTGACCCTCCCCTGTACCCCAAATAATAATTAAAACAAAGTGGATAGCAGAGAACATGTCTACCGTTTATCCTGACTTCTTGGACAGACCAGAGCCTCAGATATGCAGTTTTAGAAACTGTTCTTCGTCCTGTAAGCATTACATGGCAACATAGGAATTTTGATAGCACACATGGCTACTGTGGACAAGAGTAGGGGTGGAAATATATATTTTATAGTAAAAGCATTGCATGAATCTATCACCGTATTTGCAGGTCCGAGAAAAAATGGCCTTTTATAAACACTTCATGCAATTCTACAAATTAGCAGAATCTTTTTTAATACCACACAAATTACAGAAAGTTCCAGGCTGAGAATGGACAGAGAGATAGGCCTGTGTGTTCATCTTATCATATTTCTCCAATGCCCAATCAGTGTGTCTTGTTTGCAAATAAAACTATCCCTGTCTGCAAATAATTACATCTGAGACGTCATTAGGAATCTGAGCATTGTACTTTCAGAAGTTAGGCCTACCTTTCTACCCCAGACAGAGTAGGCCTACCGACACATAAAAACGTAAGCTTTAACTTCTGGCTACTCTTCTTCTGTGGCTTAACCCAACGAGAGAAGGTCACAAGGGCTTCTCTAAAAGCTGTCTGGGTTTAAACTGGGTTTAATCTTCTATTGCACAGAAAGTGAATAGCTTAATCAATGGATAGTGACTGAATTAGATAACTTCCCAGGCAAAGTCCATTTTTTGTCTCCTTGGCTATAGAAGGTTGTAGCTCTGCCTCTGAATGTTAAAGAAACAAAACAATGATATCCCCATATGCGTCAGAGTCACGTCAGAGTCACGTCTTTCCCCCTGTATTTTACTGCTTGTTTCTGGCATAAAACATTGCGGACCAAAGCGCTGTTATAGATCACTTTATATAATCGTATCCGTTTTATTTTCTTAAACATCTTAAACCATTTTCTTTAATAAAGGGTAGGCCTGTGGCCTATTCCTGTCTTGGTTTAAACTTAACAGCCCTTCACTGACAGGGAGGTAGTCTATTTCAAGATTGCATGGTGGGTGGAGAAATTGGCCGAAAAATCTATGGATAATATAGCCTAATTTCTTCTGTCAAACAGGTAGGCTTACCTCATTTCTTAAATAGGAAGAAATAGGCTCCGACACAAAGCCCTCTTGTTGTTAGTAAAGTCTAATTAAATGAAGACGGTTTAAATGAATTAGCCTATGCCTACTCGAATTTGCCTACTTTCAGCACCATGAGCAGTCCATTTCCGACTGAGTGTGCCGCGGCTGCTGCTTCAAGTTTCGGCACCATGTAAGTTACTCAAATCCCTGTTATTGTGAGGTCAATAACTCTGATAAATACATCATGGGCAAGAAACATATTGTTTTATAAAATACTACTATAGTTGTAGCAAGCTATTAAAGTCCTCCTCATCGTCGCGCTCTCCTTTTCAAACTGAACAGAACATAGGCTATAGACTGACAAGTCCGTGCGTAAGATTTTTTGGACTAGGCCTAATCAAAAATTATTTTCTGAAGAAAAGCCTTTGACTCTCCTCCTGAACTGCCACCATAGGCCTACATAGCACAGCCATTGGTTAGGCAGCACACACACAAAATCATCAACAAGAGCAGGTCAGGGGCTCATGGTTGGAATATCCATTGCGTTGTGTAACGCAGCCTAGTTTTATTTACACCATCCCAGCATCTATCTTAGAAATAAAACTTTGCTCTGTGCTTCTATATGCTATGGATCATTTGATTGACACCACACTAAATAGCCTATAGGTGCACTTGATAGTGCACACGGAGAATCAGAGGTGAGGGGCAGCATTGGGCACACATCCATATATAGCCTAATAAGCTACTACTTCTAAAACACTGAGATATATTGACATTTCATCCAGGGGTGGACTAGATTTGAAAAATACTGAAATTGAAAAAGCAGGACCCTCCAGGTAACCATTCTGTAAATGTTGATCCATCCCTAGCCTGTTCTCGTCCAAAACATCACAAGCAAGCTAGCTAACATTAGCCAACTTGAGCAGAGATCTCAGCTTGCTAACTAGCAAATCCAACTACACACCAAATATACACAGAGAAAACAATTATTTTCTAAACTAACATTAGTCAAACAAATGACAAGTACATAGCTAGACCTATTGCTCTGTTACACAATGTGAGAACCACTAGATACAGGCTAGCCAGAAGGCTCTAATACTAGCTAGCTAACCAGCCATGTCATTTCAATTGAAAAGAGGCTAGCTAGCTACCACCAGTCGCAAGTTTATTAAATGAGTTGCATTCATTCTCAAATTGAGTTGCATGCTTGCAAATCTTATTGAATTTAGTCACATAGCAAGTTACATGATTACTAGTGTTGTATTTATTTCCACATCAAGTTACGTGCTTGCGAGTGTTGTTGCATTTATTCTCAAAATAATTTACATGTTTGCAAATATCTTTGGCAACTACAAAACTAATTATATAGGTGCAACTCATATTTTACATGTGCAAATCATACAGTACTTTACATGCTTGTACACTGATGTCTCTAACTTACCTTCATAGGTAAGGCTGAAGCAACCAACTGCAGACAAGGAGGTGCATCTGCTACAACCAAAAGTCAGACACTGATGTGGTTTTCCAACAGCGATGCTCAGAGCATCATGGCAGTGTTGCCATTGTTTATAAAAGTGTTTCTTTATAACGTCGAAATTAACATGTCTCCAGCCCCCATATTACACACTTACAAACTGTAAATATATTCGTGTTCATTGTACTATCAATTGGGGAGAGAGAGCCTCAAATATCACATTCGTTTGTACAAATGACTAAAATGTAAAATATCCACAGTATACACGAGTGGTTGTCACTAGTTGCCACAAAGTCAACATTAGCTATATCATAAAAATTCATTAAAACTAAAAGTATCTTTTAGGTCTTAATTTAAAGTTAGGGTTACATTTAGGGTTAGGTTTAAAGTCACATTTTGAGAAGGCTCAGGCTGTTTCACAACCGGCCGTGATTGGGAGTCCCATAGGGGCGCA